TTGCAGATACAGATACAAAGATACACATGCTAGAACCAAGCTGTGACTTCTTTTCAAATTCCCAGCCAGCTGCCTGACGAATTCACCAACAGATGCGTTTGATTTGTGTTGCTGTTCCGAATCCCGTGCCCCGTGCCCTGTTCCCCATGCCCCATGCCCCTTGTTGCCGCCTGCCACAGCGTCTTGCACAGACTCAACACCATTGTTGTCTTCGTGTATTGTATCTTATTTTATATTCCAATCACAAAAGGCGTTGTCAAGCCAGCGACAGCAGCGCCAAAAATTGTTGCTGCCAGCCGAACCCGTCTTAGCCACTGAGTGTGTGTATGTGTGAGTGTGTGTGTCTGTGTGGGTGTGTGGGAGCAGGAGATTCTCAAGAAGTGATCGCCACGTCAGCTGCTCTTGGGTTTGGCAGCCTGCGGGGGCTCAGCTGCTAATGGAGTACATTTAGTGTTGTCGCGTTGACATCATTTTACGATATATAATATATCACAGAACAAAAAGATTTCAGGCTTTACAAGTGCTGAAACAGTTAAAAGCAATTAATAGCTGAGTTCACTCTAGAGAAGCGATAAAGACGGGATATCAGTCGGTCTATTCCATTGATTTCTTTATGAAAGATGAGGAAACACTTAGCCAACTGAGCTGGGCATGGCTGCCGATTCCAAAGCTCTCTAATAATAACCAACAATTTATTGTAGTGTATGTGAATTATAGGAAACCAGTTTTACTTAGCTGAACTTAAAATTGATTTATCTGAAATTATCATCAATATTTGCAACGCTTTTGACAATCGGCTTCGCCTGCTAGCCAAGCCCCGCAGACTTATTATATATATGATTTTTTTTCACTTACTTCCAATGCCTCAATTGGTTTGACTTTCGATTGGATGACACAGCAGAGTCGGCTCTACAGGTTACATTTTATAGCCCATCACTGAAGCTGTTGCTGCTGCTGTTGTTGCTGGCTGGCTGAGGCACAACTCACGCTAAACCTTTTTCAAATGGCTGCCGCTTAATTGCCCATTTAAATTAATATAAATTTCAATTTGTGTGCACACACACACACACACACACACACACACATGGGCACACACCCACACACACTCACACACACACATAGGAACAGTGTGTTTTCATCGAATGGCTGGATTGGCAATATGCAAAGCACAATGTGCATACCACATGTTGCCAGCACCGCCTGTCAGCTCGCCCCTCGGCGCCCCACCACCACCACTCCAGCCTCCTTTCATCCGCGCGACACGCGACGCGAGCTGTAAAAGAAATGTGAATATCAGCGCTTATAATACGCATGAAAATGAAATAAAATCGCATTTTTGTGATTGATTGAAGCATGAGTAATGAAAAATTGAACGCGCAGCAGGCGAAAGGTGCTGTGGGTGTGGGCTGTGGTACGGGCTGGGATTGTGGGGTGGGGAGCTACGTGTTATGTATATGTCTGCATGACTCTGATTTTATGCACTACATTACCTTTGGATTTCAATTTGAAGCAAATCAGGCAGCAATTTACCTAAATAAAAGGAAAATATGATGAAAAACTGCAAGCACATGGGATCAACAGCAAGCACAAACGAAAAAGAGAAAGAGCATTTCTACAGTCTTCTCTCGATTTTATTTTTATTTTTATTTTTTTTAAATAAAACTGTATACAATTGAATTGAATTGAACTGAATTGAATTAACTGTGTGCATGTGTGTGTGTGTGTGTGTGTGTGCAGCTGCAGGGCATATCCTTATCTGTTATCTATATATAAATATCTCAATCTAAATACAAATCGCTGGCTGCTGCCTGATGACACGCACGTAAGCTGAAGCCGAAGCTGAAGACAACAAAACTTCCCACTAGGCAAACAGCAATGACAACATCAATACAAAAGACGAGATGTTGCTCGAGGGTGGGGTGCCTGTGAGGGCGATGCGTCTAAGCTAAACAAAAGTTACGAGCCATATTAAAATGTCATCGTGTCAATGGTGCGGACGCTTGACCAGCACAACCGAGGGCTCTCGGAGCGACCAGCAACTAACGACGACATGATGAAGCGTAAACAAACATGTTCAACTAGCAGACAGACGGCGAACTCCATAGGGGTGTCTCAGCGTGTGTCTCCCTGTGTGTGTGTGCGTGTGTGAGTGTGGGTAAAGTAAAACAAAATGAAATTTTACTTTGCATTTGAAATGATTTCCAGCAGCTGCAGCAGCAGCAGCAGCAGTAGCAGTAGCTACGTCTCTCGTCCACACACATGCTGCAGATTTTTATTTGTATTTCAAATGTTTTGTGAAAGTGCCAGCAGCATTTGAGGCCAGAGTCCATTTGCTAAACGTACTACGAATCCGCCCCTCTGCACACCCCTGACAGTATTTTTTGTTTGTGTGATTTTTGCAGGCTCGTAACTTCGGCTGCGGCCCACTCAGACTGCCCCAAAACTCAACTTGTGCCGAGGCTGAGAAGTTGGCGACTCCCAACCAAAAATAGAAAAAAAAGAAGAAAAATTAAAAGAAAAAAAAAACTGCACAAACTAACATTTAGGTGGCGGGAGGGGGAAAAAGGAACTGGCCAGCACATGACTTTCAAATGCTGCAAGTTGTAGCTGGAACTGTAGCTGGGAGTAGATGACCCGCATGAAAATGCTGGCCCTGGCATATTTTTATGCCGCAAGCATCCAGGACAAATGGCTGAAATTTTTGCTGCTGCGTCGCTGTTGATGATGATGATGATGATGCCAACGACCAGCAGAGGAGCAACAATGCCACTGGGCAATAGGCAATGGGCAATGGACGATGGGCGATGGACGATGGGCAACGTGGCTGCCTGCAGTTAGCTCCCGACATGTGTACGTGGCTGGCCTGCATCAGTTCAGCTTGGAGGCAGTAGGCAGAGCGAGAGAGAGAGAGAGAGCGAGCGTAAAAAGGATCCTTAGCCAGCTCGGACATATTTTCTTGCTGCAACCTTGATGAGGGGCGGCTGGGTGGGGGGCACAGTTTAGGCAGTGCCCGGCAAAAATATAGAGAAATTGAACAAGTCGTTTGTCGGCGGCCCTAGAATTTATGTGTGTGCAGCGCGCTGCCGCTCGAGTTGAAAATTAAACATTGCGTATACGCCTAGGTGCATAATAATTCATGCCTGGCCCAGGCAGGCAGGCAGGCAGGCAACTCAGGCAACCTAGCTGCCAGGCAGGCAGGCAACTGCAACGAAATTGTGTGTAAAATGTTTTAATATGAGCTCATAATATACGAGCCAAAGACAAAGAGCAAGAGACAGCCGGCCGCAGCCAATGGGAGGCAGGGCTCAATTTCTGATTTATTGGCAGTCGAAGAAAACAAAAATCAAAAAAACATACCTGTATACAACTATGTATGGGGGCAGAGAGCGCTGTAAGTGTGTGTTTGCTATCGGCTTGAAAAAATGTTATTGTTTAGTTTTTGGCTGCTTTGCTGAGTTGCTGCTGTTGCTGCTGGAGCTGGTGGTCAAGGCCTTCGATATACATATATGCCTAAAATGGCTGCCATCCGGATATCCTGTGCCACACGGCCTGCATGCACACGATGTCCAATTGAATTTGCATTTGGCTACTACTAACAAACAGAAAAAAAACAACAACAACAAAAAGATGAGTCCATGCATTGCATGCAAACAAACGCAAAGCATCGTGTAGAATTGCATGTAGCTTTTGGCATTTGTTTTTTTTATTTTGTTTTCTTTTAAATTGCCATGCGACATTGTTTTTGTTTTTTTTTTTTTGGTCCATTTTTATTCGAGGGCACAACAATGAAATTCTATGACGTTGACTTGATGTTTTGCACCACTTTACAAAAGCCAAACAAGGTTAACCAGCTTTAACTCTAAGGGCGATTAAATTTTTATTATATTTCTTACTTTGTGTCAAATTTTAAAGTGTAAAATCTTTATTGAATATTTATTCTAAATTATTCAACAGAGTTTTGTAAAAAAAAAAAAACAACATTTTTCATAGAGTAAAATAATAGAATATACAATATAAATATTTCAACTTTTATCTAAGTTCAGTAATATCCTCTGCCTTGTTGAGCTCCTATATTTCATTTCGAACAACAAAATTTAATATTTGCCATGCATGTGAAGCGTATTGCAAATATTTTGGAACTGTTAAATAAATACTAGACCAGGTAATGGCAGCTGGGTGGACGCTGGCTGTGCCCCACAGCAGTTTGTTCAATTTATGGCATCAAAGTTTAAAACGATAACTGAAAATGTTGACCCTTGAAAAGAGTCGCAGGTTGATGGCCGCCCCATAAAATGCCATGCGCCCAGCATGAGACAGGAGACATTTCACATATTCATATACATATATTTTTCAACATTTTTATATGGATTTTTTTTTTTTACTTTAGGATTTTTATTGTTGTTTGTTGTGGAGCTGAAAGCAGTGGCTGCCCGCTGGCCCGTGCAGGGGGCTAACGGGGCATGCAAAGTACATAATTGTTGCTGACATAATGAGAGATTTAATGCAAGAGTGCAATTCAATCACATCAATAAATAAATTGTATTAATTTATTTAATGCAATTAAAAACAAGAAAGAAAGCTCTAGTCGAGACAGCTCGACTACGAGATCCCCTGAACCCTACAAGCAACTGATATTTCAATAATAATTAGCAAACACACACGCACACACACACACACACACACGCATATACACACACTCACATATACAGGCGATTGCGCTTGGGTTGCG